TTATTAAATTTAATAATTCATTACTATTTTACTATATGTTTTTGCTAAAAATAGATATCATCAAATACAAATTTATTTATTTATTAGAATTTAAAATTATAAGGGTAATTGTGGTATATTCAATCACTTTCTTTTCACTTTCATGCCATCTAAAATAACAAATCAATATTTTCATATAATTTTCTTGAATAAATTTTCATACTAATCAAATGCATGTGAGAAAATAACTTTTCTTTTCATTTACTTCATTTTTCTTTCATTTTCCATTTTTTTTTTCTTTTCTTGCTTATTTCCATCTAAATTATTTGTTATCATTTTGTGATGAAGGAATTTGTGTATGTATATAAATTATAAATGTTGTTACGGTTGGACAAAAGAAATTTTTGTTTAAATTTTTTTTTTTTTTTTAAATTTTTTTTGCTTATGATTAATTTTTTTGTAACTTAAAGGGTCCGTTTGGTTAGATGAAAATTAATGTCAAAAAGTGAAAGTGAAATGAAGGAAAGGAAATAGATTTTCTAAGATTCATTTGTTTAGCATGAATTTTTTTAAAAAAAAAAAATATAAGAAAAAATTATTTAATAGTTTGGATGGTACGAAAGTTAATAGAAAATATTATGATTTACCTAACTTGTCCATTTTTTTTTTATTAAATATAACAAATGGTTTAAAGTAATTTAAATTTAAAAAAATTTATTTTTAATTGTAATATAAGAATCTAAATAATAAAATTTTATAAGATATCTTAGAGAGGTAACTATTATAATATTCTTATTAAAAATCATGCATAAACGCAATTTATTTTAGAAAGTAAAAAAGAAGGACAATTGAAATTTTATATAGTTTTCTCAAGAAAGCAAAATTTTGCTATGCTTTTAATAGGGAAAAAAAAAATAAGAAAAGAAGAAATGAATCCATTGGATTTAAAACTTACTTTTTAGTTAATAGGTTATGAAAAAATTGTGTAGTTATAGAAAGTTACGTTCTCACAAAAAATTTCTTTCTTTTCTTGTTAATCAAACTCTTAAAAAATAAAAAAATAAAAAATTCTTTTTATTTTCTTTCTTACTATTTGGATCTAACCAAATTAAGTCTTACAAACTCTCGTAACTTCTAGATACTAGTGGTTGATGTTTTTAAACGTGAAAGAGACCCTTTGGGTGCCAAAATCATCGACTCTTTCTCATATTGGGGTTACACATGGAGTACATATGCATGTTACGACTCAAAGTCGTCCCAAAGTCGTCCCAGACTATTTCATGTATATATACGTGTGCGCGAGAGAAGTGAATCATATATACATAAAATATACTTAAATCAAGATAGCATTCCCAAAGGTGTAGGAGAAATGGAGTTGGCTTGGTTCCTCATTTCTTTCTCTCTGCTTGCAACATCTTCATTTGCAGGGAATCAAGGTATGTGGTTATCTGGCATTTACAAGATTCACTTAATTGTTTGCAAGAATATTTTATTTTATTTAGAAGGTTAAACAAATACATATTCATGCCTTTATTAAAGTTCGAATATTCAACCTCTCTTTTGGCCAGTTTGTACAACTTGAACTATTGTCCATTTGATTATTATTTGCATCATTTTCTTTAATTACATATACGATGTGTGTGTGTGTATATATATATATATATATATATATATATATCTGTGCGTGTGTTGTGCATGATATTAAAGGGATATGGATTAATTAAATTACTTCTATTTCTCTATTTTGGGCAGAGGATGAGCAAGGACTTAACCATTCAGCTTTACACTTCACCTTGCATCATGTGCTTGGACATGGCTCGCCTCTAACCTCCCGGTCTCCGCTATCCTTCTCCGAGTTGCTAATTCGGGATCAAGCACGAGTTAAGCATCTCAGCTCCAGACTCACTAAGAATATAACAAGCAGTGTCACAGAAAACCCTTTTGGATCAAATCTCGTCAGCACACCCGTGAACTCTGATATGTCTGTTGGTGTGGGCCATTACTATGTCAAGGTTGGTCTTGGCACTCCACCCACTTACTATCCCGTGATTGTCGACACCGGCAGCTCCATCTCCTGGGTGCAATGCAAGCCTTGCGAGGTGCACTGCTACCAACAGGTCGTTCCCTATTTCGATCCCTCTGCATCAAGCACCTACAAAAGGTTGTCGTGCACAACACCCGAGTGCAATTCATACGATCGCGGCCATTGCACGCCCTCTAATGAGTGCTCGTACGAGGTTAACTATGGGGACAATTCTTTCACTGTCGGCTATTTGAGTCAGGATTCACTAAGCCTAACACAATCGGAAACACTGCCTGGTTTTGTGTTCGGGTGTGGGCAGAACAATAGTGGGTCGTTCGGTAGGTCTGGTGGTCTTTTCGGCCTGGGTGGTAACAAGCTGTCTATGGTCTCCCAGCTGTCAACCAAATACGGAAATGGCTTCTCCTATTGCCTCCCAACAGTGAGTGGAGGCAGTGGAGGCTCGTTGTCCATAGGAAGGGATTCGCTGACGGGACCACCCTACAAGTTCACTCCAATGCTTCCTATTCAACAAGAGACGGGCTACTATTTTTTGAAGCTGTCCGCGATTGTAGTGGCGGGCAGGACACTGCAGGGAGTGTCTGAGGCCGACTACAACATTCCAACAATACTAGATTCAGGGACGACGCTCACGTATCTGCATCCGTCGGTATATGCGGCTCTCCGCGATGAGTTCAAAAAGATCTTGTCCTCCAAGCACGAGGCTCTCCCGAGTAATTCTAACGCGTGTTACCAAGGTAGTTTGAAGGAGTTGTCAGCAGATGTGCCTGAGGTTCGGTTGGTGTTTGAAGGAGAGGCTGAACTCACTCTTGCTCCTCAAAACATTCTTATTGATGGGAGCGGCGGCATTACTTGCTTGGCCTTCGAGACACTCGGCCCCGACTTAGCGATTGTTGGATACATTCAGCAGCAGACGTATAGTGTGGCTTATGATGTCTCCAATTCAAGATTTGGTTTTGCTGCTGGGGGCTGCAGCTAGTTATTAAAATGATGGTAACTTTATCTCATATATTAATGAATAATATGGCATCTCATGAAATGGAGTCAGGAGAACGCTCAGCAACAACTCTTGTTGTATGATAGATGAAGATCCCATGATGCTAAATTGTTCTTTTTTGTGTTTTTCGGACTAAATATTGTGTGAGCTAACCATAGGCCTTTTATAGGCCGTATAATCAAATTATATAGTACTATATATTTTGCCCCTTCTGTTAAATGAGTTATAATCGACCCATCAAAGACATGTATCTAATCAAGCGACACATCAAAACATATTGAAACTGAAGACACAACCAAGTATCTAATCAAGCAACACATCAAAACACATGGATCTAACGATTATGATCATTTTAATCATGATTAAAACTGAAAATATAAGACATAAAATCGGCAAAAAATGAGTGCGTAAATTTTTTCCAAGAACCAAAATAAATAAGTAAATAAAAAAACAATAACGAGAAAATAATTGAGATAAAGTTATATACAAAGCAATATAGAGTCCTTCAACTTAAAAAAAAAAAAAAAAAAAAAAAAAAGCAACATAGAGTCACAAGACTAACCACTCGGTCCACTCCCATATTTATTTATATTTTACTAAATAATAGTGCGTACTGCCTAGGATGCATAGAATAATATTTTATGATAGAACCTTCCAAAAATATATATATATATTTTATGATAGATGCATCCCTTGTGATTGAAAGGGAAATTTTATTAACCAACTATTACACCATCCACACAAATGCCACAACGTTGGACAACTACGAACAACTATCAGGCTCATGGTCAGTGACTTCTCTGGATTGACCCCTCTTACTGATTAATGACCACGCATAACGGAAGAAATATATTCCCTCATCCCAAAATAGTGTTAAAAGTTTTGAGAATTTAACTTTTTAAGTTTATGAGTTTTAGTATTTAATTTTTTTTTGTATTGGTATTGAATGTGTTACTATATTTATTTATAATGGATATGTAACGATGTGATTTTTACTTTTTATTGGTTCAATGCAAAAGAAAAAAAAAAGTAAATTGATAATGTTTAAAAAAAAAAAAAATTAACACTTTAACTTTACAAATGAGACATTCAATTTAGGACAACTAAAAATAAAAAAATTGACAAGTATTTTAGAACAAATATATAATTTACATGCACGCTTCATCAAGAAGCACGTAAATATTTACAAGAGTGAGGCACGGAACCACATTGGGCCTGGGGCCAAGTATACTCCTCGAGCCCATTCGGCTCCTGGATACTCATGCATAAAACTATTTTAGTGTGCTGCCCATCGAGCTTAACATGGTTCTCCAATAAATAAATAAATATATATATATATATATTTTCTGGGAATCAAACATTGTAGATTTTACAAAAATAAAAGAATTAATATATATATATATATATATATATAAATTTATATTTACTTTAGTATATATAATATTTTAAGTTTATAAAATGTTCTATAAAATTCTCTCTTACCGAAATTCTATCTAACTTTTTTTTTTTTTTTTTTTTTCATTTCTCTTTAACTTTATTGCTTTTTCAAGTTTCTCTTATCCCTTTAAAAAAAATTTGCATTCACTTTCTTCAATCAAACACTACTCGTATTTTTTTCTCTCCAAAGTTCTTTCATTTTTTTTTTTTCTTTTATTTCTATTGTAGACACTAAAATTTCATGAATTTTACTGATTAGAAATGACCATATAAGTATTTCATCAGCACAAATTCCACTTAAAGATTGAAAAATTTCCCTACACTTCAAAAAAATCACACCACCTTTTTGGATCAAATTTCATCAGCACACCTGTGAACTCTGATATGTCTATTGGTATGGGCATTTACTATGTCAAGATTGGCCTTGGCACTCCAATCAGTTACTATCTTGTGGTTATCGACACTGGCAGCTCCTTGTCCTCGCTGCAATGCTAGCCTTGAGCCGGCTACTGCCACATCCAGCACCTACACAAGGTTATCGTGCACATGACCCAGTGCAATTCACTCAAGGAAGCCACTCTAAATGACCCTGCTTGCACTTATTCTAACGAGTGTCTGTACGCTGCTACCTATGGCGACAACTCTTTCTCTAGTGGCTACTTGAGTCAGGATTCATTGACCCTAACCGAATCAGAAACATTGCCTGGTTTTGTGTACCTGTGTGTGCAGGACAATAATGGGACGTTCGGTGGGACTGCTGGTCTTTTGGCCTCGGTAGTAACAAGCTGTCCATGTTCTCTCAGGTGTCAGCAATGGCGTATCCAGCCCAGCCCAAAAAAATATATATATATATATATATATATATATATATATATATTATTAGTATTAGCCAACTCAAACAAAGCCAACTCAGATAAGTCACAATACTAAAATAAAGGCCCAAGCCAAACAAGTCCTAATAAAAAAATTTGCTTAAGAAATTGTGTTATTAAATTTATATTTAATTTTAGCCCACTCCATTGATAATTTCTGGATCCGCCCCTGGCTGTCAGCCAAATATGGAAATGTCTTCTCTTATTGCCTCCCAACAACGAGCGGAGGCAGTGGAGGCTCATTGTCCATAGGAAGCGATTCATTGACAGGATCATCCTACAAGTTCACTCCAATGCTTACTAATTCTGTAAAAAACAGTTTGTACTATCTGAGTTTGTGCGCAATTGCAGTGGCAGGCAGGACACTGGGAGTGGCGGAGACCAAGTACAGGGTTCCAACAATCATAGATTCTAGGACGGAGATCACATGCCTGCCTATGTCAGTATACACTGCGCTGTGGGATGAGTTTGCCAAGATCATGTCCTCGAAGCACGAGATTGCCCTGTCTTTTTAATTTCTTGACACATGTTATAGAGGGAGTTTGAAGGAGATGTCTGATGTGCCTAAGGTTCGGATGGTGTTTCAGGGAGAGGCTGACCTCACTCTTGCGCCTCAAAATATTTTGGAGGATGTTGCTGAGAAGGGCAGTACGTGCTTGGCCTTCGCAGGTCGGCCACTGATGATATGGCTATTATTGGAAACCATCCGCTTAGACATATAGTGTGGCTTATTATGTCGCCAATTCAAGAATTGGGTTTGCTGCTGGGGGCTGCAACTAGTTATTTAAATGATTGTAACTTTATCTCATATATCAATAAATCAGGCACATGAAGTGGAGTCATGAGATGCTCTGTAACTATCCTTTCTACATGATGGATGAAAATCCCATGATCCCGAATTGTTGTTCTTGTTTGGCAACGTAAATTTCAAGTTTGTGTATAAACAACTAATTATATTGTTTTATAGATTGGTAGATGCAGAGAATTGAAACCTAGCACTCAAAGTTTAATGGAAACACTAACCCATTGGACTATCGAGGCATCTTCACCCTCTTCAAAATTTAATTAAGCTAGCTTTAACAATTCACATATTCATAAAGTATTACCCTCCATGAATTACTGTATTCATGTATATATTGATCTAAAAATAATAATTTTGATCAATCATGTTATTTTAAATTTAAACATTATAGTGAGTGCATAAGTTTTTGGTTACTAGAAGTTGGTTAGAATTCTAGTTCCATCCAAAATCCTAGGTTTAGTCAATGAAAACTTCACCCGTTGTTAGCCAAAATCTTAGGTTTGGTCACTAAAAACTTTACCAAAAGTTTACAAGATTCTAAACAATTTATCAAAGGACTTGGATCTTCTAAATTAAATATTCTCTAAGTTATTTTAAGTTGAATTCGCTACAGATTGATACGTGACATTTAAAATCTATCTACGGCTGGTGTTAAACCATGTCAACTAATTTAGAGAAAGTTTGAAAACTGCACCGTTTTGAGATAAGAAAAATTTACCAAAATTTAAAAACTGTACGGTTTTAAATTAAGGAAAATTCTTAATTTAAAAATTGTTTAAAAATTGCACCGTTTTGAGATAAGAAAAATTTACTAAAATTTAAAAATTGCACCGTTTTAAATTAAGAAAAATTCACCATACTCTAACCACGTTTACATTGTTATCTCTCCCTTATTTTTTCCCAAAAAAAAAAAAGATCCTCCTTTTCTTTCTTCTGTATTCCTATCTTAAACAAGTTCGATAGTCATTGTTTCTCTTTTGACTTGAACGACGTTCTCTATCATCTTTTCTATATATAGGGCTTTTAGTTATATTGTTATGGTTTTAACATGTGTCATTTCGCCGAAATCTAAGGCCGACAACGCTCCACATAATTTAGTGATAAAAAAGGCTTGAAACGACAATGTTTTGTTTTTGTTTGTTTTTTTTTTTTTCAACTAGATTCTTATAAAAACTGTACCATTTTAAATTAAGGAAAATTCACCGTACTCTAACCACGTTTATGTCATTATCTCTCCCTCATTTTTTCAAAAAAAAAAAAAAAAAAAAAATTCCTCCTTCTCTTTCTACTTTTAACAAGTTGCAATAGTCTTTATTTCTCTTCTGTCTTGAACGACATTCGCTATCATCTTTTCTATGTATAGGGCTTTTGGTTGTGTTGCTATGGTTTTAACATGTGTCATTTCACCTAAATTTAGGGCTGAGAACACTCCACATAATTTAGTGATAAAAAAGGCTTGAAACGACAATGGTTTTTTTTTTTTTCAACTAGATTCTTAGATCTCTTCACCTTTACTTCCCTCTATGCTAATTCTTTTTTAGTGTTTGAACCTGAAATCTGCTCCTTCAAATTTCCTACCACTAGACATAAAGCTAGGTTGTTTAAATTTTTTTTTTTTTTGTTTTTATTTCTTTATTATCTAAATCAATGCGATAATTGTTTTCTTTTGAATATATGATTTGTTGATTATAACGAGTTGGTAACTGCATTTGATTATGTTTAACTACAAGTTATTCAATCTAAACTGAAGATTAGGGTTTAAACTCACCGATAATCACCACAAATTTGCAAACTTTACCATCAATTCTATACCAATCCCAATTTACTTCAATTCTTTCAAAATTTAGAGAGTATTAATTTATATACACATATTGACATATATATAAATACATAAAGAGAATTATTGAAGAAATAAACTAGAAAGAGAAAAGAGTGGGAGACGGTTTGTAACAATGAAGAACTCACTAGTTTCAGGCATAAGAGGCCATAAAAAATAAAGAGTTGAAGAAGTTTTCGCATTCGTTGACGTTTCTCTGTTCATTGGTTAAATAACTGTGGTTTTTATTTTTTATTTTTAATTTACTGATGTGGTACATTATGAGTCATAGATATGTGATAAATGCCACATGTTAAAGTTTCTAAGATTCAACTTAAGATAATGTAGAGAAGTTTTAACTTAGATGATCTTAGTCCTTATTTGAAATCTTCATAAGAGTTTCGGCCGATGCTTGTCAGATTCTAAACAATTTAACAGAAACTTCATCCGAGTTTCGTCCAAATTTCTTTGAGCTTTATCACTATATTTTGAACTCTTCTCAACTTCTCAACATTGTGTGCTCACCATCTGTCGCGGTATTGATTTTGATGGCCCAGATTGTTTCATCAGGTAACTAATCAATCAAGCAACACATGAAACACAACTAATCAAGCAACGCATGAAATTCATCCACTAAGGTCACTTGATCATATAATTGACCAGGGCAATTTGATGAGTGATTGGTGGTGAAAATAGGCCATTTGAGACAAAATATTTGTGTCATAAAATAGACAACTTTATAAATTTTGAAACATGTTCAACAAAAAAAAAAAAAAGTACCAATGATATCTTTTTTAATTTTTACATGCAAAAAATAAGTGTGTGAGTTTCTTAACATAGTAAAAAGTAAATAATAAGGTAAATTAAAAAAAAAAATGAAAATAAAGAGAAAATAATAGAGAGATATAGAGTCACCAGACTCATAACTCCTCTCCCATATTTAAAATTAAATTTAACCTTCTTTAACTATTGAAAATTTACAAATAAGGTCAGCATGGTGTACTAAAAGTTACTAAATTACTCTTCTGCACAAACTCCTTTGAACTATAAGAAATTTATAAATTATCCCTAAAACGGCATAACATGGGGTAGGTGTATTTTGCAATTAATTCAAAAGGATACATTTTATTTTTTCAAAAAATAAAAATAAAACCAAATCTTTTGAGGAAGGGAGTGTCTTGCAAAGTTTTTGCAATTTTGAGTACTAAAAATTTACATGCAAATTTTTAATAGTTAAGGGAGATTTTACGCAATTAATGCTAATTTGTAGATAAAAATGAAATATTTTAGAAGTACTTAATACGCATTGGACTGCAGCAGCTCAAGGTCATTCTTGATAAGGGATATAATCATCCCAATGATCATGGAGTTTTAATTGTAGCTATCAAGGACCAAAGTCCGACTTCCAATACTCCATTTCACCCAGCTAGCATATCTCTTTGATTATTTCTTTATTTATGTAATTTCCTTAAATCAAAATCATTTACAAGTATATATTGCACCTCTGTAAATGAATAATAGAGAGCCTTATTTTACCATTTCATAAAAATATTTTCATGGTATCAGAGCAAAAACTTGCAAGCCCACAACCATGTCTTCTTCTTCTATTCCAAAAACAGAGCCCAAACTCAACATCCAATCCTTCCACCAATGTTCTAGCTTGATCTCAATCAAGCTAAACACCCAAAATTTCCTATTTTGGCACAACCAAATCACATCTTTGGTTCGAGGTCTTGGTGTTCTTCATTATCTTACAACTGATGAAAAACCTGCTGAGGAAATCAAATATGTTGAAGGAAACCAAACTCCCAACCCGATCTATGATCAATAGATCAATAACGATGGACTACTGGCTTTATGGCTATTGGGGACTATGAAGGAGGACATCCTAAGTATGATTTTCGGTGCTGAGTCGGCATACAAAGTTTGGACTTCCTTTAGCTTCTCCCTGTTACCATGTGTGATACCCCTCGATTCTGAGACATGGGTTGATCAGGCCCAGGCCCAAACTCGAGAGAATATCAAACAATTAGAGTATTTAGACGAACACAGAATACAAAATGAAATAAAAATAAATAAGCTGAAGAGAATCTAAATAACAAATCCTCAAAATATTTATAAAATAATCCAATATTCTCAAAACCTCCAATAATATTACAACTCGGGAATCTATTTAGTGGACCCCTAATAAATCCCAACTGTAATTAAATGTAATTGAACTGAAAAAAAACCAAAACTAAAACATGAAGAAAAGTCCTATGTAGTCGGAAGAGTGAGTGACTGTCTCTGCTCAACACGATCAAGCTCTAAGATTGCAACTGTCGAACACTTGAAAAATAATAGTGGGTCAGGCCCGCGAGCAAGTTCTACTCTATACAATCCAAACAGAGACCCGATACTCAGATACATCCCAGATAACTCTGCAATAAATAAATAGTCCATATATGTATAAATACACATTATGGGACGCTTACTAGTCCATAAGTCTGTCTCAACCTAAATAGAAGGTAACATGCAAATCGTACATAAAGTGGGCATGTATACCTAGACCTACCAGGGTACACAATATCTACTATGTCCAGTTATCCATCCTAAGCGATGTACACATCCTAACCATGATTCTGAGACTCAAGCTCATATCATAGCTCATAACTATATATATGTATAATCCATCCTAATCCAAATCATGAAACAAACATCCGGTATGTCATCCAACTGATTCAGTTGACCTGATATGAATATATGTAGGATTTAACATTTTTAGTTAATCTATTCCGTTATGCATGAATAGGAAGGATTTAGCGTTTTGATCTAATCTATCCCTAATATGCCACCGTCCCATACCTGTAATACCCCTAATTTTAAAAGGATAGTTTCGGCATTTTAGTTATTGTTTTATTACATTTTTATTTGATTATTTGCTTATTTGCCTAATTGTTTTACTTATTATTATTTAATTGAGTTAATTGGGTTCATTGTATTATTTATTTATTTTTTAATTTAATTGAAGTAATTGTTTTAATTGTTTAAATGGTGTAATTGAATTATGTGTTTTATTTAAATGAATTCATTGGTTGATTTGATTCAATTAGTTTGATTAATTA